AAACGTCGCCAGTCATGTCATTTTACTTTTAAAGAGTTTCATTTTTTTATTAATGTCTTGGTGTTATTTTTTTTTGTTAGGATAAGTTTGTCAATAGCGTTATTGGATTCGGGTTAGTGTTGGGGTTGTTATTTGAGGGTTCGTATTAGTAAAAGTCATGATTCCATTCAGTGTTGAAGTTAGTGAACCTATTAGTTGGCTGTTCTGATAGTTGGGTGTTATGATAGAATTGTGTTCTACGTGACTAACGACAACCTATTGTGTTCATGGTTGTGTAACCATCTCATATGTACAAATACTCGACACATCACACACTAACTAATGTACACACACATTACTCGCACTAAATATGCCGCAACTACACGCCTTTTTTTGCTTACAAATATTAAACGAATTATAAAAACTTACCTCTCAAAACACTTTTTGTTACCGAACCCCGGAGCTTAAAATGTGTAAGCGGTTGTCGTAATAAAAGCGTTCTAAAAGATATTACATGTATTCTCATCTTCGTCGTCTTCTTAAGAAGGGGGAGCGGTGGCGCAGCGGTTAGCGCACTTGCTGAATTGTTAAGCCGGCAAAAGTCTCGGGTTCGATTCCCAGACACGGGGATAAACGTGGGTGGACTATTGACATTCGAACTTCCTTCTAAAGGTCCCAACCACGAATGTTCACCGACCCAAAAGTGTCAGGGGGAGGCATTTCATCCAGCAGTGGATTTGACACTTGGGACACGTGGGCCAAAAACTTCGTGTACGGCAACATAAGCAACATACGAAACACCTAAACTTAAGGGCATTTGCTTAATGCATTTCAAGGCGCATTATAATCGTTTAAATATTACAAAGCTTAAATATTGCAACGCATGAAAAGCGGACTTGACCCTATACACAACACACACAAAATGTTGAAGTTATTAAGCTTATAGCTGGGTGTAAGGACGATAGTTTATGCTGTAGATGTGCGAAAAAACGATTCTTATACACTACAAATGATAAGATTGTGAGTTAACATTATGTAAACTCTGTACACACACTATATGAACCTTAAAGTTTGAACTATTACGTGGCTGATAGCGTTTCAAACTTGTATCGCTTTAAAACACAAATAATTAAAGTGCTTATAACATTAAAAATATCTTACAAACATTCTAAAAACTATTGCTACCTTAGTGTAAGATCTATTACGTAGCTTAACACATAACTTATACACACATCGACTGTTACACGTTTAAAAAATATACACAATCTAATGTTAAATAGCTTATAAATAGTGTAAAAGCTGTATCACTTAACTTAGAGACATGAGGCTTTTAGCCACACACAAATCTAATGTCTCTAACGATTTAAAACAACGCAAGAGCGATTACACACTTTCCCATACTATTATTAATCTAATACAAAGTCGTCTAATATCTATCACAAGGCTAATAACACACACACAGCTTATACACAATTTTAATTATCACAACTTACAACTCAATAATCATCACGTAGCTTACGTTCTGAAAACTTACGTTGCTTTAATAAAGTCTAACAAACAACTATTATACACACTGCAAATTAACAACTTACACTGGCTAATGCATCACATACATTAAACATAACAACTCTTAACTTACACTATCATTACACAAGAAGTTATAAGAACCACAGCAACGTACACACACATTACGTTCTGTATTAACAAAGATTACATCACTTTTTACATGCGCACATTGCAAGTGCTATCTCATAGTTCTTAATACATCTCATAGTTCATATATCTCACAGCTTGGACATTACATCTCATAGCTAATCTATCTCATAGTTTAGACGTTACGTGTATGATGTGTAGAACCTAAACGCTACATCACCCAGTAAGTAAAACAAATAGTTAGAAGTTCAGACTTTAGACAACAACGTCCACAACAAACGCTACACAACATTACACAATTTAAAAGTGTCCCATAGCTAAAGACACACATACATATAGGGTACAACAACATAAGAACATTGCACGAAACCACTGCGTTTAAAAAGACTCATTACTAATCTTAAACACATTACTGGGCAGTGAAATGACTCAACTCTTTACACGCAGACACACAAGCTTGTGTGTAAGTGATTATACACAAGCTTGTGTGTAAGTGATTATACACATCACAAGCTTGTGTGTAAGTGATTATACACAAGCTTGTGTGCAAGTGATTATACACATCACAAGCTTGTGTATAAGTGGTTATACACAAGCTTGTGTTTAATTGATTATACACAAGCTTGTGTGTAAGTGATTATACACATCACAAGCTTGTGTATAAGTGGTTACACACATCACAGGCGTTGTGTGTGTGTGTATATATATACAGAACACATTACATCATAATACGCACAGTGCACATCACAGCTACCAACACACACACACACACACGTGTGTGTACCACAGCATTCTTACACACACACACGTGTACACACACACGTGTACACACACACACGTGTGTGTACCACATCACACACACACACGCACACGTGTGTAACACATCACACACACACACGTGTGTCTACCACATCCCATCACGTACATGTAACCACATATGGCACACACACACACACAATGTACGCAAACGTGGGATACATCACACAACGATGAATGCCGTATTGCATCGCGTCCCATGCACACCCCACGTTATACACACACACACACGTGTGGTACACACACGTACACACACACACACGTACACACACACACGTGTGGTACACACACACGTGCACACGTGGTACACACACACACGTGCGGTACACACACACGTGTGGTACACACACACGTGTGGTACACACACACACACACGTACACACGAACACACACACACACGTGCACACACACATGTGCAACCACGCCCGGCCGCCTTTGTCTCCCTTACCCCCCCCCCCCCCAGGAATGTTGGCCGCGTTTTCTCGTTCGCAGTGCGCTCACCACTCGCGCCACCGCTCCTACCCCCCCCCCCCAAAACAACATACAACATACATGCCACACACACACATACTACATGCAAGCACACGCATGTTACAGGATATGCTGTACACGGCGTAGCGTGCATTGTGCAGGCCACTCTAGGCTCTGTTACACACAGACGTATAGTACACACACTATACACAGACGTATAGTACACATACTATACATACACGTGTAGTACACATACTATACATACACGTATAGTACACATACTATACACACACGTATAGTACACATACTATACACACGTATAGTACACATACTATACACACGTATAGTACACATACTATACACACGTATAGTACACAGACGTATAGTACACATGCTATACACAGACGTATAGTACACATGCTATACACAGACGTATAGGACACATACTATACACAGACGTATAGTACACATACTATACATACACGTGTAGTACACATACTATACATACACGTATAGTACACATACTATACACACACGTATAGTACACATACTATACACACGTATAGTACACATACTATACACACACGTATAGTACACAGACGTATAGTACACATGCTATACACAGACGTATAGTACACATGCTATACACAGACGTATAGTACACATGCTATACACAGACGTATAGTACACATACTATACACAGACGTATAGTACACACACTATACACACACGTATAGTACACATACTATACACACGAATGTACAATGGTATAAACACACACACACATACTGGTATATAAGTGTAAATTGACGTATATGCACACTCATGTACACAGACACACACATACAACTACCCATAGGTACGCGTAGGGCACCACACGTGTACACAAATACACAATAGAACCCATACACACAATACATACACACATAATACATACACGCATAATAGACACACACTTACACAACACCACACGTGTACACAAACACACACAACAGAACACACAGACACATAATATATAGACACACAATACAGACACAATACATAGACACACACTTACACAGCACCAAACGTGTACACAAACACACACACACAACATAACCCATACACACATATACATAGACACAATACAGACACACATAATAGACACACACTTACACAACACCACACGTGTACACAAACACACACACACAACAGAACACACAGACACATAATACATAGACACACACGTACGCCGATACTGCATCATCCACCGTTGCTACAAACCCCACCACAACTATTACCACCACCACAGCTACCACCACCACCACCAGACCCACTACCACCACCACTAAACCTACCACTACTACCACTGACCCACTACCACCAACACTACCACCATCACCACGACCACCACCACAAAGCTACCACGACCACCACCAAAGCTACCACGATCACCACCAAAGCTACCACGACCACCACCACCAAAGCTACTACCACTGACCCACTATTACCACCACCAAAGCTACCACTACTACCACTGACCCACTACCACCAACACTACCACCATCACCACGACCACCACCACTACAAAGCTACCACTACCACCAAAGCTACTACCACTGACCCACTACCACCACCAAAGCTACCACTACTACCACTGACCCACTACCACCAACACTACCACCATCACCACGACCACCACCACTACAAAGCTACCACTACCACCAAAGCTACTACCACTGACCCACTACCACCACCAAAGCTACCACCACTGACCCACTACTACCACCACCACCAAAGCTACCACTACTACCACTGACCCACTACCACCACCACTACCATCACCACCACTGACCCACTACTACCACCACCAAAGCTACCACTACTACCACTGACCCACTACCACCACCACCACGACCACCACCACCAATAAGTCCGATGGGGGGGGGGTGCTTAGTGGCGTTTTGGCAGCCGGCCGGCCTCGGCTACCCGACCGCAGCCATCGCCCGCTCGGGGTGTTTCTCTCCGTGACCATCATCCGCTGTCTTCGCTTTGAAATCCCAACAAAAGTCCAACACCCACCCACACATACACACACTCACCAGCGCCGACTTGGTGTCCAGGCCGTTAGCACTATCCACCATGATTGTCGTCGTGTGACTGAGATGGCGCGACCCCTCGGCTATCAAATCCCGATATTTTCACATCAATCCACCCCCCGCCGCCCCCCCCATCATCATCCACACGCCCCGAAGCGCCGCCACCACCACCACTACCACCACTACCAGCGGCAAGCCGCACCGGTACCACCCCCGTACAACGCCGACGTGCGGCGCTCCCTCCACATCGCCTATTGCTGCCTACGAAGCCCCCACCCCCACCCCCCACTACCCCCACCTCCATCCCCCATCCCCCCCACCACCACCCCCCACCACCATCACCTCCCCCCACCCCTCCCTCCCCATCGCATGCTCACTGCAATCTCCCTGCACCCTCCCCCCCAACCAACCACACCTCCAATAAACCCCCCCCCACCCACTCACCCCCACCCCTCCCCATCAAACTCTCCACCCACCCAGCATCCCCCCCACCCCCCACCTCCATCCCCTCCCCTCCCCACCACCACCACCCCCCACCCCTCCCCATCAAACTCTCCACCCACCCAGCATCACCCCCCACCTCCATCCCCTCCCCTCCCCATCCCCCCACCACCCCCCACCCCCCCATCAAACTCTCCACCCACCCAGCATCCCCCCCACCCCCCCATCCCCCCATCAAACTCTCCACCCACCCAGCATCCCCCCTCCCCACCCACCATGCCCTCCCCCCACCCACACGCCACTCTCTGACAATCTCCCCTGCACCCATCCCACCAACCCCCTCCATCAAACCCCTACAACCCACCCAGAATCCCTCCCTCTGACCCCCTCCTCTACTCCTCTTACTCCTCCTTCTCCCCCCTCCACAAACCCACATCCCTCCATCAAACCCTAAACCCACCCACCCAACCCAACCCGCCATCCCTCCTATCCCTCCATCAAACACGATTACCACTCACCCACCCACCCACCCACCATCACGCCTACTCACCCAGCCCCCTTCCATCTCTTATCCCTCTCCTGTGACCGCCCCCCCCAAAAAAAAATCCACTCCCCTATATCTTCCCCTATTCACCCACCAACCCACCACCAACCCAACCCCTTCAAACGACCTTAAATACCTCTCCCAGCACGCACGCGAATCATCCCCATCAACAAGCACCGTCACCCGCATTCCGTACACATCTAGCAGTGGATAGAGAACGAGCGTGCGTGGTACGGGTCGCCCCCCCCCCGCACCTCCCGAAGGTGGCGTGACCGCGAAACGTCACTCACAGCGCACGTGCGCCTCCTCGTGTCACCCCTCGCACAACGACGACGACGATGATGATGATGGAGCGAGCCCCGAGTTCGAGTGGCTTTATGCTCATTATCATCTCGCTCGACTTTGCAGGGCTGTTGACAAGGAGTTGCGAATGGAATGATAGCCATTCAATTACGTCCAACTTTAAACAACGACACAAACTAACCCGCATGCCATAATTATCAGCGGCAGCGATAAATCCACATCCTGCGATAGAGATAAAGAACACTCCCCCCCCAGCCTCCACCCCCGTACAGCCTAAACATACTTTTGGAGCACGTGCTGTTAGTGAGTACCAGAGGTGTGGACTCGAGTCATGTGACTTGGACTCGAGTCAGACTCGAGTCATGAATTTGATGACTTGAGACTCGACTTGGACTTGCATAACAATGACTTTGTCCCACCTCTGAGGTGTGGACTCGAGTCATGTGACTTGGACTCGAGTCAGACTCGAGTCATGAATTTGATGACTTGAGACTCGACTTGGACTTGCATAACAATGACTTTGTCCCACCTCTGGTGAGTACCCATGAAGGCCGGCACGGCACACGAGGGGGTAGGAGGTGTAGTGGTTAGCGGCGCTAAGCTACGAATCCCAGCGATCAGAGTTCGATAAACATCACCACTCTGTATGAAGACAAAGGCGGCCGGGCGTGGTGCTGGTCAACCCCCCCCCCCCCACCCCCTCGTGTGCCGTGCCAGCCTTCAATAGGTGCCTCTCGCTAAAGAGCACATGTCCCTACAGGCTGTTGAGGTGGGGTGGAGGCGGAGGAGATGGTGTCTTTGTCTTTGCTGTAATGTCATCTTCATTTTTGAGCTGCAGTGAAGCTCAAGCGCGCCCCCGTCCGTGCAACGCCGGTCATTTGGCATTCTCCCGTAAGTTTCGATTTAAAGCTTTCGTGACTGCAGGGATTCATCTTCTTGGTTCTTTCGGTAAAGTCACGTAGAAGGGAAATAATAAAATAATAAAACATAATAAAATACAATTCTCACGACGTTTCGGCCACAACGCAAGCAGCCGTCCTCAGGTTAAGAACAGGTCTGTCGGAAAGACAGCGTCTGAATGACGCTGTCTTTCCGACAGACGCTGTCTTCAGACGATGTCTTTCCGACAAACGCTGTCTTTCCGACAGACCTGTTCTTCACCTGAGGACGGCTGTTTGCTTTGTGGCCGAAACGTCGTGAGAATTGTATTTTATTATGTTTTATTTTTATTATTTTATTATTTCCCTTCTACGTGACTTTACCGAAAGAACCAAGAAGATTCTCCCGTAAGTTTCAGTTTTCAGTTTCATTTATTTGGAATAACCCTGTGAGCCATTCGGCTCTTGATTCGGGTGCAACCGCAACAAACAATTACATTACAAGATACATTTAAAATGTACTGCACGCAATTTGAAACATCCCCTACAAAACAATAAAATCTTCCAGAAAAAGCACCAATTGTTTATTCTACGTACAAAAATGTGCAAACATCCCATTTCGATATTAGATCACAATAACAATCATAATACATTTCGATTTAAAGCCTTCGTGACTGCAGGGATTCATCTTCTTGGTTCTTTCGGTAAAGTCACGTAGAAGAGAAATAATAAAATAATAAAAATAAAACATAATAAAATACAATTCTCATACAATTCTTTTATTATGTTTTATTTTTATTATTTTATTATTTCCCTTCTACGTGACTTTATCGAAAGAACCAAGAAGATGAATCATAATACAATTTAGATTAAAATTCTCTAACTCTATGCTACATCAAACAAATATGGCTAAACGAAGTGAGTGACTGACTTTTGGGGGGGGGGGGGGGTGGACAATTTAGACCGATTTTGGCCGTTGTGACATTGTTGAAACTCTACCAAAGGGCTTCATTCAGTACCGGATTAAGCTCTTGCGGGGCCTGTAGCATATGTTATAAAGGGGCCCTAAATAAAAAATAACCCATAAATATTAAAGCACATAAATGTTTAACTTGCACAGTAAAGTAATTGATTTTTTTCATTTTCTATACAGCCTGATAATACGACAAATCGCTAACCTTAAACACCCAGTCGTTGACAACAGTTGAAGGCGGTATAGTACTATAGTAATAGAGCAAGTGCAGAATCACTGAACCGGAATTGATAGCTTGAAAGCATTTAGCGCGGGGCCCTTGAAAGTGCGGCACCCGTAGCTACTACACATGTGTAACTACTACTACATATGTAGCTACTACACATGTAGCTACTACACATGTAGCTACTATTACACGTGCAGCTACTACACATGCAGCTACTACACATGTAGCTACTACACATGCAGCTACTACACATGTAGCTACTACACATGTAGTAGCTACACATGTAGCTACTACACATGTAGCTACTACATGTAGCTACTACACATGTAGCTACTACACATGTAGCTACTACACATGTAGCTACTACACATGCAGCTACTACACATGTAGCTACTACACATGTAGTAGCTACACATGCAGCTACTACACATGTAGCTACTACTACACATGTAGCTACTACACATGCAGCTACTACACATGTAGTAGCTACACATGTAGTAGCTACACATGTAGCTATTACACATGTAGCTACTACACATGCAGCTACTACACATGTAGCTACTACTACACATGTAGCTACTACACATGCAGCTACTACACATGCAGTAGCTACACATGTAGTAGCTACACATGTAGCTACACATGTAGCTACTACACATGTAGCTACTACACATGCAGCTACTACACATGTAGCTACTACACATGCAGCTACTACACATGTAGCTACTACTACACATGTAGCTACTACACATGCAGCTACTACACATGTAGCTACTACACATGCAGCTACTACACATGTAGCTACTACTACACATGTAGTAGCTACACATGTAGTAGCTACTTTTGCTACTAGGATAATCCAACACTGGAGCTTCTGTTGTTTTTTCCTACAGACGCTTCTCCCTACATCCATGACCTCCTTCAGCCACATACATATATTTGCCATCAAGTATCGTTATGGGGCTGTCCATAAATGACGTCACGCGATTTTGGACGATTTTTGACCCCCCCCCCTATCGTCACACGGCGTCACAAAAAGTCAGACCCCCCCTCAAATATGACGTCACAAAGCTCTGCCCCCCCAAAAAAACATAAAACTTGCTTCAAATCGCTTTAAACTATTGTCATTGTAGTGCGTATTTAATGTGGCGCTGCACTCTGATGTTGTAGGAGAAAACATGTATTAAAAAGTCTATTTAATGAAGTAGAACGCGTCGTCTATACGTATTTAAAGTTGCGCATTTTGATGCTTACCCCGAGCTCTCAATACTCTGATAGTGCGCTGTCTTTGAGTTGTACGCCTTTTGGCGTCATCTGGTCCAACACCATGTGAGACTAGGCTCTAAAGAAAGCTGTCTCGGGTGTGGACCAATCAACTTCAAGGACAGTGCATATTATTATCATCATCAGAGTTGTTTCTTTTTGTTTGCATTTTGACTGCTTGTGTTGTGGTTATTGCAAACATGATGCCTTGTATAAAGGTGTCAGTTTTTGTACCAGTTGAAAGGGTAAAAACCTATTACTATATTTTGCCACTGGTAAAGGAGGTCTCATAGTGGCGCTTTATACATTTAAATCATTATTGTTAAAGCCCAGACGAATGACTTATCCAGGCTAAACGCGTTCGTATTGTCATTCTGTCTACAGTATAATTATAGTATAATTATATAATTATACACTCACTCCTCGGTACGAGCTAAAGTATTTGCTCTCCTGCAAAACTTCCAGACGGGTTTGGCGGATCGCACACAAAATGCCGTGAAAACTCCCTTCCCGTGAGCTTCCACGAGGTTACCGGTTTCCTGGTTCGCCAGGAGAAGGCCGAACAGACTAATATCGTCTGA